CGAACAATTGACTTTAAGTCCAAATTTGGTAAATGTATGAACTGAAATTTTTGAGCACTTGTTGGAAAAAAAAAAAAAAAAAGTGTCTGTGTGCACTCACCAGGTGCACAAGATCCAGGGAGAAAATATGGATGCTGCAGGTAACCGTGGACAGAGTGCAGATGATGGTGGAAAGAATGCTCAGACCACACGCGCTAAACAACAAGTCCTGCAGAACAATATAGAATATCTTCAGCTCTTTTCGCTCTTGCGGCAGACGCAACCTCCTTACCTTCAGTTGATGTCTAACCGAGTGGCAGTCTGAATTCAGGTTGAGGACAAGGGTTCCATCCTCTTTGCTGGAGCAGGGTTCCGCGGCCACGCAACACACACAACGGCCGTTCTCTATCTACACACAAAGAGTGAGAAGTCAAGACACTGCGGAACGATCTGACCAAACTATGTCATCAATTCCTGGAATGTTCCATCGCGCATCTGTTTCGAAGGGCATTTTAGTCTGTGGCTATGACTGCGTTTGTACCTCACAGGTGAGCATGGACTTGACCATCTGTGCGTTCTGACAGGAGAGCATGGAGCCGGCCAAACTGAGGATCACGCACACTGCAGACAGCAGCATGAAAAGAGAAACCTGTGGAGGGAGCCAAGGCCAAAAGAATTTTATTCTCCGACATTCATTAAAAGAACCACAGACCTTGACAGCTAATATGGACAAATTGTTGTCTTTTGCCTGCTTTTTTTTTTTTTTTTTCAAGATAATGCAATATCAATTTGGACCAAAGTGAAACTATCATTCGAATTCCAGCCGTTTGATAGAGTAACGAAAGCGCATCCATTCATCCAGGATTCGGATAAACACATTTCTAGCCTGGAGTAACTTTGCAAATATGTAAGTCATATTTTACAGGAATGTATTAATAATTCACAGCTACAAGAGGATCCATCTGCGAGGGGTTGCCAGATCGATTAATAATACAAGACCCCTCGTGTGGACTGTCACGTACAATTGCTGTTTATGGTGTCTATTAAAAAGAAAAAGTGCACTTGCATGACATCTTTTGGAAAGACTAAGTGCCTTGTTGGTTATTTCTCTTTCACATCAAACCACATCCTCTCTGTTTCTTCCATCTACTGTATATTTGCTGTTGTAATCAGACATCCATCCCTTTTCTATTCCAGTTACTCATTAAGGTTTATCCCAGTTGACCTTGGACCAGTCCCCAGCTTTTTAGCAAGAACCTTTCACACTCACATTCGCATCTTTGGGCTATTTTTGAGTCTTCAATGAACATAACATGCATGTTGTTTGGAATGTGAGCGGAAGCTTGAGTAAAACCCACGCAGGCGCAGGGAGATCATTCAAGATGATTCGTAGAACTGTGAAAGACACTTGCTAACGAATAGGCCCACTGTGCTTGTAATCAAACAAAAGAATTCAAAGCAATGTGAAATGAATGAGGTTTTTATCATTCATGATGATAGTAATTTGGAATAAAGATGAATCTTTCTCATGTTCCTGCCAACAAGTGCAACCTCAGGCTGGATGCGTACAGAAGAAGAGTCGCTTGTGGTCCCGCTTGCTAACCAGGCTAAGTAAGTTTATACATTGAGTTCAATTTTGCCTTATATTTGCTTTGTTGTCTGATATGTTTGCTATAAAGGCTGTGGCAGAATGTCAGTTCGATGCGATTAGAATTTTCCGCAACAATGAAGCAACTAAACGGGTGCTTAGCTAGCATTAGCACACTTGGCTGGGTAAACAGCCACCATGAATGTTTCATACAGGACTATCCGCAGTTATTGTTGATGTTTTTGGAGTTTGTAATTCTGGAAGTGGTCTGATGTCACTGTAAAAATTGTTTGGGGGGAAACGGAAAATGGACATACCACGAGCGTTAAAGGTCTCCTCCATGAGATAATGCCAACTATCCCAGATGCCACCACCTACAAAGACATACAGTAATAAATAGAAGCTCTATGACCTCACTTACGGTGGGTATAAAAAGTCTACACACCCTCTTTCAAATGCCGGGATGCTGTGATAGAAAAAAAACCCCTCAGTTCCAGTGTCAAGCATGATATTGGCACTACCATGCTTCAGTGTTGCTATGCTGTTCTTTTGGTGATGACTAATGTTGTGTTTGCACCACACATCCATTAGCAACTGTGGCCCCCAAATAAAATTTGTACATATTGCACAGTAAGTCAGAACGTGCTATAGTCTGCACAAACCTGTAACTGTAACCGTAAAGACAAGATTACACTAAATACAGTGGCGGTTTGAGATACAAATGATATGAGTGGGACAGCTGTTTGGCAGATTCCTCAAAAAAGAAGCTTCACGCATTTTTTTTTTTTGCCCAGGAGAAGCTTAAAACAAAATAAACATTAAACAAAGACGTGTATTTAAAACAATCACGTAACTTTGCTTTTAAGTCAGCTAGCTTGATGCTAACACATAATGGGAAATGCCACAGGTAAGCTAACAAATAGCATCTACTGTATGCGGTGGTGTTGTAATACTTGAAACAATTGATATATTTGAAGTTAACCAGTGAGGCAACCGATGTAGACAGGCAACCGACATCCCATGTTGGGCTTTAAAGTTTCCAGTGTCGCATATATGATACTGTGAGTTGCTTTATACTTACAAAAAATCCAGCCCAGAAGGGACAGGACTGCCTCACACGAGCAGACGAGGTGAAGGCCATGCTGGTGAAGGAGAAGGCCAGGACCATGGCGCCCAGGCTCAGGTGGCACAGGCCCAGGTAGAGGAGCAGCCTGGCCCCTCCGGGGCCTCGACCCGAAAAGCCACGCCGGCTGTCCGACCAACCCCGTGACCCTGACGCTGATGCCACGCTGCTGGAGTCTGACGGCGAGGGCATGTTGGAAATGTGATGGGAAGGAGCTTGGGCTTAGTCTATCGGTCTTTAAGCAAAGTTCAAGGGTGGCTGAACGTTTGGAGCCTGGTCAGCAGAAAGTTGAGAATGGAGCACACAAACAGCCAGCTCGTTTGACTGTTTCAGCCATGACTGTAGAAGTCAATACACCTCACAGCAGCAACCTCCTCTTGCAACAAGACTCCTCCGCGTGGCTCATACTGACGCTTTTGCTCGCTTATTTTATCATGATTATTTTGCTTCTTTTCTCTCCTTCCACTCTCTCGCCAGCGGCATTGCAGCAGCAGCAGCAGCAGGCTTCGCATTGTCAAACATCCCAAAACAGGAAAGATGAAAAGACGCTCATCTTTCTCAGCTGCGTTTGTGTGCGTGTATGTTTGTGTGTGCGCGTTGTTCTCCTCCCGGGCGGAGCATCACCCGACCTTCCGTTTGGACCACCGAGAAGAAAAAACGACGAAAATCTCTCACCTTGTCGACACGAACCACTTTCCATCGATTTGGAAAAATGCACCAGAAGGGATGCTCCACCAAAAAAAAAAAAAAAAAGGATCGAACGGTGACAAGTCCGCCTGGTGTGCCGCCTCTTTCCTTCCCCGCAGTCACGCGGGCATCACGTTCACTCGCGTGTTAAGTGCCCCGCACGTAAGCCCACTGCGCCCTCCTCCACTGTTCAGAAGCTACATATTTAACAGCACGCCGCACGCCAAAACACCATCCTAAATCCGTGTTTTAGAACGCCGCTGCGTGTTTTCCTGCGTGGATGATCCGCCTCCGGGATGGAAAGGCATCGTGCGATAATATGCAAACCCGAGCCTGCCCCGGTGCGTGATGACAAGGCACGTAAAGCGTGCGTGAGATGCGGCATGCAGAGGAGGTGGGTGCTGATGCTGGGAAGGGAGGGCGGGATGAAGGAAGGAAGCTTATAGCAAGGAAGGAGGAAAGGAAAAAAGGAAGGACCCAGCTAATGGTTGCCTGGCAACAAGCTGCCGTACACGTGAAAAAACCCCAAAAAAACCAAAAAAACGAATAAGCCTCAACATTTTGTTTAGGGACACGACTCGACACTGGGCACATACAGAGAAGAGTTTGTTGCAAATTAACTCACTGCAACAAAAGATGTGGGACAAGACAACACACGTGGACGGGGTCGCCATTCGTGTTTTTGTTTCTTGGTTCTGAAAATGGTCCACCTGAGCACACAAGACTTTGAGAAGATTTGGTGAAGACCCTTGGAATGAATCATCTCACACCTCCCAACATTGTTACAGTTTTCCGTCCCCGCCTAGTGTCAGACTGAGATTTTAAAAAGACTGTGAATTTTTTGAGGCATTTTTTGTTCCGTGCAATGCAAATGCTTTCCCATTATGCTAAGTTGAATTTTTACCAATGTTGAAGCTCATCTATTGTTTGCCGGTTGTGCCACGTCACCGCAAAAACGGAATATCAGACAAATTTGATATCGTCGTAAGCCCAAAACTAGGAAAAGACTGATCTGAAACAGCGAAGATTTCCACGTTACACCAAACGATCAAGATGACGGGCGCGCGCCACGACTCCATTAAAACTCGAAAACTTCCTTCTGAATTTCAGTTTTTAGTCTGAGACTGTGAACGCCGTTTGGTGTAAACCCAGCAGCAGGCAGCTACGCTATTCGACTCATCATGATACTACGTGGCTAATTTTCACCTTTGGAGGTGGAGCAGGAGCCTTAACAAAGGAATTCAAATTCCAGAATGGAATAAGGTTGCAGGTGATTGTCGCCTTCCAATTTCGTTTAGGTCACACCAGGCGCTTCGATCATCTAAATGCGATTGCGGGATGTTTGTGTGGCCGCAGGGTAAATAAATTCCCTGCTTTTGGATATGTCTTGTGTCAAAGGCAAAGCGTTTTGGAAGAAAGAAAAGTGGAAAGAACCCTGAAGCAGAGCACTGATCAAACAGTTGTTTTTGTTAGTGAAGTGTTTCCAAACCACAAAGACAAAGACCACTCTTTTCTTTTCATTTTTTTTTTAAATTTTTTTATTCAACACAAGTGTGGCCTCAAACCAAATCCAAATATAGTGGCAGAGTGAAGCCTACAAGTGTTTGGATAGGGAAGAAAATAGTGAGCTGCTGTCATCCACGTACTTGTGAGCGAGCAGGAAATTGCTCAAACGGTCTCACAAATCTCACATCGTCATCATTCACTTGCTTCATCCATCAGTCATCTCTCCTCATATCTTCTATATTGCACTTATGACCGCCTCAAACTTCCACATACTCAGTCTTTTTCATACAACGTTTACTTTTCACATCGTGTATTTAGTTTCCTCGGTGTGTTACTTCTGCTTGATTCTAATATGAAATATCAAAGGTAACAGTTATAGTTGAACATGTTGAAGACTACATTGGAAGCCGATTCAGTCTGTGGTAAGATCGACACAATCGCACCTCACAAATGCTCACTTGTCCTCCGTTTTAGGATTCGGTGATTAGGGTGGTCACACATATTGCACACGCCACGAGTAGGAATGGGAGAAATGAATCCCAAAAAAATGATTCTTAAAAAGCCAAAGAAATGATTTCTCGCTGACTGTATGATGAGCCCTTTTCAAAAATGGAATGCAAAGCGGTTGCGGGGAGACTGTGCAAAGAACAAGAACTGTGCTGTGTACATAGTGGACATGTGAGCCACCAGATGGAGACGTGAGACTTTCCTGTGTCTGGTTCATACTGATGTGTTTTTTTTTTTTTTTAATAAGTTGAAGGGCAACTGTGTGTGTGTGTGTGTGTGTGCGTGCGCCAATATCTAGAGAAGAGCACATTTGGACGTTTTTTTCTGTGTGCTGCTGGTGATCTTCACCTCTCGGCCTGTGGGACCCTTTTGAACAAAGAAAAACAGGAAGATGACATTTAGGACCTGTTCACAAATTCCTCCAGCCTTCCTTCCCTCAATCCAACTTCCCTGTCCAAAAGTGAATCTGGAAATATCGCTTGGCTTTCATGTGATATTCTTACTTCATTGTTTTATGATTTTTTATTTTTTTTATTTTTTTTTATTTTTACAAATGTTGAGCGGGTTACAGACTTACAAGAAATTGGGCCAAATGCGATTATTTTACTTCCTGACTGCATGTTTTCCTAAAATGTATGAATGAAAATGTGTTCACTTTTATATATTTCTAATTCATTGACCTAATGAAATAATGTAATCATTTTAGCACATACAATAAAATATTCAAATATTTTTTACATGGACATTACGGTTAATTAATTCTAATTACATTGATTAGACTGAATGATTTTTTTTTCACCACACCTACAAATGGTCCATCTTGTAAAATCAAATGTTCATGTTCATTTTCATGTCAACTTTATTGTCAAATGTGCTACATGTGCAACATAAAGCACAAAAGTTGTCCCACCCCTGCTATAATATTTGACTTACGGTTTTTTTGCTGGATTTGTGAAGTATGTCTCTTGCCAATGACAGAAAGGACTACAAAATAAAAATAGAAACAGACAAAGATGAAAGCTAATGCCTAAGTAAAAAAACAAACAAAAAAAAAAAGACTCAATATTGTTGAGTTTGGTGCACTGCAGCTCACCTCCTCGACGTTAATACTGGACTTGGCGCTGGTTTCAAAGAACCTGATACCGTGATCTTTAGCCAGCTGTAAACAACAAGCGCGACATAATTACACAGGGCCAGGATATAGATGGCAATCACTTCCTGTTTCTTATCTCAAGTAAACAGAGCGTCCAGCCACCAAACGCTTGCACCTTACGCAAACAATCCCTCCCCTCTGATCATTACTGTCAGCGAGAGCTCGTACGTGTCACGCTCGCATTGAAAATTGCAGAAAAATAAGCATCGCAATATCAAACACAGATGGCCATCGCTGTCAGGGTCAGCTCACCTTTTCGCCTGTTTCCTTGGTAACCTTCCGCTTTGCCTCAATGTCGCACTTATTTCCGAGCAACATTCGGCTCACCCCCGCTGATGCATTCTGGGGAAGAAAGTGGGGTGGGGGGTGGGGGGGTGGATTGATTAGGCCGGGTAGAGCTGCATTCAAATGTTGGCTGGGGGATGCATTCAAGGGAGAAACGGACAGACCGACATTGCAAGGCAGCAAACAAACAAGATGATGAATGTTTGTAACGCCATCACAGTCTCGGTTCTAAAGTCGAGATAACTGATAGCCTTTGAGACAAAGTGAGTGAATTTGCAGCTGTTTGGACAATGACACATCATATATAGTGATTCAAGTTCCCGGGATGTCAAAACAAATATGTCTTTGGGACACCACAGACAAGATGGTTGTTGACAACCTGACATATATGATCAGGTCAAGTACTTATTACACACTTGCGTCTAAAATGTAGCCTCAAAATGATGAAAAATGCACCTTGTTCAACAGTAAACAACCAATCAAATATCACTGTGAATACTTGAAGACATTTGCCCATTTCCAACCGGTGTTTCAAACTGAATAGCATCGTGGAAATTGTTGTTTCACTTTTTCATCCATTTTTCGATCCGCTTATCCTCACAAGGGTCGCGGGGGGTGCTGGAGCCTATCCCAGCTGTCTTCGGGCAGTAGGCAGGGGACACCCTGAACGGGTTGCCAGACAATCGCAGGGCACACATAGACGAACAACCATCCGTGCTCACACTCACACCTCGCGACAATTTAGAGTGTTCAATCAGCCTGCCATGCATGTTTTTGGAATGTGGAAGGAAACCGGAGTACCCGGAGAAAACCCACGCAGGCCCGGGGAGAACATGCAAACTCCACACAGGGAGGCCGGAGCTGGAATTGAACCCGGTACCGCTGCACTGTGAGGTCAACGTGCTAACCACCGGACCACCGGGCCGCCCCACTTTTTCATTTTGCTTTATATTTTGTTTTGTTTTGGCTCTTTAAATTAATACGCTAAACTCTACTTTCCATCTATCAGCATTTTGATTGAATAAGCAGTAATGTACATGTACGCAGATACATTTCTGTGAAGTGTCTCTTTAACTGTTGTGCAGACACTCATGACTAACACGTGTGCGACTCACTGAGCGCGCTATTTTGAAATGTTTACTCGAAGGAGAATAGCCTCACTTCTTTGATGCTCTTCATCCAGTTCTGGATGTTTTCGAAGGACTTCTCGTCTGTGATGTCGTACACCAAGATGATGCCCTGGCAGAGAGCGAAAGAGAGGTCAGCGCTCTTTACCGGATGTGACGAGCACAAAGACCTGATCATCCCGGGCTTACCATGGCTCCTCTGTAGTAGGCCGTGGTGATGGTCTTAAACCTCTCTTGGCCCGCTGTGTCCCTGCGCGTTGCAAAAGTGGTCAGAACAGAGTGGACAGAAGGCAGGGCTGCACTCTTCATCCGCCGGGTGCGTTATTAAAATGTTGGCAGGGATCAAAATGGCTATCGTCGGCTTGCCAAGAATATGTGCAGACGCAACCAATGAATCTGACTTGAAGTGACAGCATGGAGAGCTACAGGCAGGATAGGAAATAATGTCACTATCAAGCACAGTGGAACCGCTGAGGAATTCAGAATTTGACCTCTCGAAAGTCGCATGAAATGAGTTTGAACAGAAGTCATGCATGGGCACCAAAGGATTAAATCAGGGGGTTTGTTTCACCTTTTTGAAGTGTCACTACGATGGATGACATCCAGCTGCGGTTTCTGGCATGTACATTAAATGTGGTCACACACGGCAGCATTGCTTGCGGGGGCGGATGTGCCATAATTAAATACAGTTTAAAAAAAAAGTCTGATGAAATTGCAACCATTGGCGTTTTTTATGTTGAATTTGCAGGGTGGGGTTGGGGGGTCTCGGGGAATGATGCGAAATGCAAGTTAAACTTTGCTCTAGTATTGAGACAAGCCCATGGACAGTGTCCTTCAAAAATGATCATTCTTGCCTTTGTAAAGACTGAAGTTTGAATACTGATGGAGCTCACTTTGATGGAGGTGCTCATAATGTGTACTCGTCGAGTGTCACGTGACGCACAGTTCAAAAACACAACATCATCTCTTACCATACTTGCAGTTTCACTTTCTTCCCGTCAACTTCAATGGTTTTAACTTTAAAGTCGATGCCTGGGAAGAGGGGTTGGGGCAAACAATCTGTTAAAATATCTCAGAATTGAACCCACCCACTCATATAGTGTAGCATAACATAAATCACAGACCGTTGGGTGGAGACTGGTTCAAAAATCACAGGGAGAGATGGTTAGAAAGATTGGAATGAGTGTGGGTGGAAGAATGAGATCTGTGTGTATGTGAGTGTGCGTGAGTTCACATATTGAATAGGGAGAGGAACAATGTGTGAAAAAGACGAGAAGACAAAAGGCACGGGCTAGTCTAGACATGGTAATAAAATGGAAGGAGAGCTTCAGTTGGAAGTGATATACCCCCGCCCCTGCCTAAAAATTAAATATATTTAAAAAAAGAAAACGTACCGATAGTTGAGATGTAGGTGGAGTTGAAATTGTCCTCAGCAAAGCGAATGATCAGACAAGTTTTACCGACTCCACTGTCCCCGATGAGCAGCAACTTGAACAAAAAATCATACTTTTTCGCCATAGTTTACAGACGTTCCTTCAAAGAGAGGTCCTTAAAAGTTGACAGAAGCGCTTGGTCTTTTTTTTTTTTGTTGCAAAACGTTCCTCCCTTCCTTCTCAAACTAACGCCGGTAAACTCGGATTCCCCTCAGCGCTCCTCTTCTGTCCCGTTTGGGTTGACCAGCGTTGTTGACCAGTTATTCACATCCGCATACATCACAGTAATGTCGTCTTACTTTTTCAACAAAAAGAACTTTTGAGTCCGTTTACAAACATACCAAAGTGTCTACGTGTTTTTTCTCTGGCTCCCCCCAACAACAACGAGAAGAAAAAAAAAACTTGCTTCGGCCCAGATCTTCGTGGGAGTATCTTTCGGACGAGCATTACTGGGAAGCTACGCTAGATGACGCCATTTGATTGCTTTAAAAGTAATCAAAACCCTTTCTACGACTTAAAAGTTAGGTTAACATGAGCTTCAAAAGCAATTTCGGAGGCTTTTATCAGAGGTGGGATGAGTACCCAAAAGTACTAGGCCTACTGCTTCTTAACAATTATGATACCATTTAAAAAACACATTGATTAAAATAAGACTGAATTGAGTAAAAGTAAATAAATACTCAATGACAAAACTACTCAAGAGCCGAGCAACTTTTAAGTTCTGATTTTTTAAAAGCAGATCAAGAACTAAAGAAAAATATAAAATAGGATTATGCACCTTCAAACATTGTCCAAATACGTCGCTTTAACTAAATGGTTAACTAAATCTTTACAAAATACCTCCAATTCAGGAAAAATCAGCCATAAGAAATTAAATGGCAGAGATCAGAATGTATCAGAAAAACATTTTCAGAAATAGGTAGATAACTTGGCACCACAGACTCAACTACTTGCATAAAGCATTAAAAGGTGTAGTTTTCATTTCAAACATTTGCATAGCCCTCTGTCATTAAATATTTCCACAGAGGAGATAAATGAGTTCTAGCTCTAGTCATTCTTAACAATTAAAAAAAAATACATATTAAAATATAAGGTATCTATTGTAAATAAACAATATGCAAAAAAGGCGACAACGCATTTTTTTCTTTTTCTATTTTTTTCCAAGGTCACGTGACGCCCAATCAACTTCCGCTGCGTCATCCCCGCGTCTTTTTCCGGCTAGACTCCAAACAAGTCCAGACATGCCCGTAAGTACCGCTACGTTCACTCAAGTAGTTTCCGTCGTTTAAAAGTGTATAAAGCGATACGGTTATTTCGTAATTAATGTATGTTTTTGTTTAATTTCGTTGGTGACGAGTCGTTGTGTGTGTAATGTGGAAATTAGAAACCAAGAAAGGACGCAATATGGCGAGACACGTGGACGAAAAAGCAGCCCACGTTGTCTATTGGCGATGTGAGCTACCGTGTCGTTGAGATATAATACAGACGATTGTTTAACCTGATCGTATTGCTTCTTTCATCAAACATAATTCTGGCAATAAAAATAAAACTCGCGTCTTTCGTGTTAAAACACTATCCATGATAATTTACTGGGAAATGCAGTCGAGGTATGGTTAAACATTTTTAGTTATTGCTTCAAATTGTTTGCTTGTCATATCCATGTATGATAGTTATATAGTAATGTAGTTATTCTCGACTCTTTGTACTTGCAGCTTGCCAAGGATCTGTTGCTTCCCTCCTCTGAGGAGGAGAAGAGGAGACACAAGAAGAAACGACTCGTCCAGAGCCCAAATTCCTATTTTATGGACGTAAAATGTCCAGGTCTGTTTGTTAACAGTTTTTTAAAATCATTATTTAAACATTATGTAAAAGCAGTGGTAGCTATATCCTGCAGTGATTCTTGTTTTCCACTTAAAAAGTGTTTTGCTAATCAGTTAAATGATTGTTGTTTGACTTTTCGCTTAGTTCCCGTTAATTAGTTAAAAAAAAAGACAATATGCTCCAAAATATTAAATGCATATGTATTGTTACTTTGAAGTTGACTGCAGCTGAACTATATTACTTTACTTGAGATTTGATCCTTTGCTTATTACTTGAGGGATTTTGCATAATCACTGCTGTGGAAAGCGATTTAAGTATAAAGCAAAAATACATTTGATAAACATCTTTGGATGGATACTTTGCCTTGATGTGTTGCCCTCTCATTGGTCTATGTAGTGACGAGGGTGTCAAATGAGGCATACACTGACTCTTGTGGCTGCTATTGAATTGAGTTTGAAATGACTCCTTTGCAAGTGTTGCTGCAAGCACACTAGGGCTGAAATGCATCCTCAAGTAATTTGGATATCTCAGTTAAAAAAAATTGTTGATGCTATATGCATGACAGTAACGCGCTGAGAAGGCCAACTTCAAAATAAACCATACCTTACCAAATAATATGTGGACATCAGTCCCTTGAGTCGCTTTTATTTTGAAGTTGTAACGGCTTACTTGACATCCAGACTGTGTTTGGACTGTCACAAACTGGTATTGATTTTAACAACAGAACGTTGTCCTGAAGTAACGTTCAATCACTGAGGAGAAAAACAGTCACTTCATTACACTGACACTGTGTTGTAACGGCGCCTGTTGCGTTTTGTGCCAGCTCTAGCACTAGCAGCTAGCAAAGCTCAAGTGCCCCATATAAGCTGGCAAGAGCCGTCGGGAGTACTTTTCATGGCAGTTTAACAAATGTAAATGTGCACAGGGGCCTTCGCTAAGGGTCGCTTTTTAACAAACCAGGCTTACTCAAGTAAGTTGTTTTGGCCGGCAAAATCGCTACTGTGCTTCTGGCATCACCTTGTCTCAAAGACGAAAATATCTGGGGAGAGATTTGTCTAAAATCTCACAAATCTTTCTGGAGATGAAAATAGTGTGCTGCAATGCACAGTTTGAATTAAAGTATAAATTGTTTATCTAAAAATGAAAACTGGTTGGATGTTAATTATTAAGTGGAAATGGAAATTTTTTGTCTTCGGTATTTATAACCAAGCAAAAGTATTTTTAAATAATTTCATAATACCTGATTATCCGATTTTAATTTTCAGTAGCCCTAAAGTGCGCGCACACGCACACAGTTGTGTAATTATGGGCTGTCATATTTTCAGGTTGTTACAAGATCACGACCGTGTTCAGTCACGCTCAGACTGTGGTGTTGTGTGTCGGCTGCTCCACGGTCCTCTGCCAGCCTACGGGTGGGAAAGCTCGCCTTACGGAAGGTATGCACCTTTTTAGTGTGGTCTTCTCATGATCGCGCACTTGTAGTTTCAAAACAGTATTGAAAGTACTTCAGTCTGATCATATAATTTTGATGACACACGTGTTTGTCATCAAAAGCGTAAAATGCAGTGGGACCTCAGTTGTTTTTTTTTTTTTTTTTTTTTTTTTTAAAGTGGCACTCATCTGAAATAATGGGGGTCGAAATAATGAGCTCATTTTCACACCTGAATTAAATGTTCAACATTCTTAACTGTCATATAAGTGTTACAACGGAATCTGTGCGGGTGTGTACAGACAAGAATATATTTGTTGACATGTTGTAATGTGTATATGCAATCTCAGAATGTCAAATTTATTGTTAAAGTGTTGTTTCTCTGCTGATGGCACAAAAAGAAACTACATTTGTGCCCAGTAGGGGGAGTCCTAGATAATAATAATCATTTAAAAAAAAGGCTTCCTTACCAATATTGTAATGACAAATGCTTGCAACAGTTTCAAAAAATACTCAAATGCAAATGTAACCAAATGTGTCCCAGTTTGGTGTCTACATTTATTTTTTTTCTACATATTTCACTTTCAACAGTATCAGTTTCCTGTGCATACTTTTGTATTGTAGAATAAAATACAATTCATCATTTTACATGTTGTGGCCCTACTAGAATCCCAAAGTCTGAGGCGCTGTGTCACCCGTTGCAGGATTTTAGAGAGAAATCAAATCTTTACTCCAGCCTCAAGCTTTCAGTGTATTATGCATGTGTTTAGGCGGTGTGACACAGCCGATGTATACAGAATCACTTTTGAAAGTCTTAAATCATTGCCTTTGTGTTGCCCTTTCATCGAATCCATCGTGAACCGGGTGTCGACTAAGGCAGACATTGATTCTCGCAGCTGTGACAGAAATTCATCATCACCGATGCATTTCCAACACATTCAACTGTGAGCACAAACACGGCGCGGCATTTTTGCGGGTGAAAGGGAGCGGCAGCAATGGTTCCAGAAGGCTAATAGCATATGAAGGTGTTCGTAAAGGAACGCGGGTGCACAAGAACAAGACGGCAACAAGACTCGACTTGTTTGCACTGGAGCATCCTGGCTTTTTTTGTTCTGTATCTAGCTGCCATGGCAACCATGACTTTGGCAATAAGCTGCATTTGGAGATGGTGTGGGTGCACCTGACCCCCCCAACACTGGATAGCGCATTTGTCGAGCTGTCACTCTGATCGGGTAGATAGAATTAGTGTCTGTTATCGATTCATTCTGTGACTCTGTTGGCACACCAAGATATATGCACAAACTTTGTGAAATTTAAATCTGGCATCACATTCAGTCTCCACACAAACTTAACGTTAAAACCACATGGGAGGGGCCCCCCTTATTTATTTTTCTATCCACCAATTATTTAGTCTTTCACCTATCTCTTTGAGGTAACGTGTTGTAACCGAATGTTTGTCCGTGTCTCTCTCTCTCTTCCCAGGATGTTCGTTCAGGAGGAAACAACACTAACTTGAATCAGGACGCAGTTGAGAATGACCAAAATTTTCGAATCAGGTGCCGCTGCTTTGGCGTCGATGAGGAGAACGCACAAAAGCAAAGATCACCCGAGTCAAGATAAACAGCGCCCCATCCTCAGCCACCACGTAATCATGGCCTTGAAAATAAACCCAGTCGGCTCAATCGTTGTCGTTGCCCAAGTGCTTTGTGTGCTCTCGCTAAGATGAGTTCAAATTTGCAGAACAATTTACATGAAGCAAAACTGAGGTGGTGAGAGAAAGAGCGGAGAATATCTAACAAATCCAAACCATTTTTAGGAATAGACGCATTTGGCTCCACATGGATATTACAATTTCTTGCTCCAATCCTGTTAATGAGTCCCGAAGCAGCTGTTTGCATGATTCACGAAAGACTTTTAAAACCTGCCAAATAAAGGTCAGCATTTGACAAAAAAAGTCGATGTTGAGGTATTTGATCTGTTAAGTTATTGGCCAGGTCAGTTTCTTTCTGGGGGATTCAGAGGACGACATTGCTTGGTTTTGATTTTGGCTTGCTTAAGACATACTAATAGATGTTATGATGGCACTTTTTTGTGTGTGAAATCAGTGAAAATGTTTTTATAAAGTTGCACAAAATCATTTGCTGTCGTGTATTGGGAAAAAAAAACTGGCTACACTGTTGGCCATTTTCAC